TTGGCAGATAATGGAATCAATAGCAACAGGCTGTTCTGACGATACAAGCTGGAGTAACTATTGACAGTTGATAGTTGTTATGCAGGATTTACCTACATCGATGGCAGAACTTCTCCAGAATGCAAAGTCTGCCATGTCCTAGCTGTGGAACAGCATATATCTTGGTTGGCAGCTCAGACTCCAAAACAAAGTTTGGGGGGCAAAATGTTATGTCATACGTTGATAAAAAGAGTCTCAATTTTAATGGAAAATCTGCCTGATGAAGAGCAATAGGGTTTCTCTTGGCCTACATATCAATGGGGAAAGTCTGAAAATGTAAAATTAGCACGGCCATTTATCAATTGTGCAATTTATCAGTCTTTGAGTCTCAGTGAGGTTCCCTTGAAATAATATTAAAGGCCTCACGATTAAAGGAACATTGTACAAGTCACTATATTTGTATGTGCAGATTTATTTACTTTTGTACAACTCAGGAAACGTTTATCCAGTCTGAACATTTGATTCCATTTCCAGGCCAAAAGTATACTTATTTGCACAGACATGCGAATGTGTGCATAAAATCTGAACCAAAGCGATTTGGAGTAAACTGCATAAATACTAGTACAGCTAACACCCTGCCCTTACTTTACCTACTATGGGTAAGTATTTGTACACACATAGTATATGCAATCATTCGCTCTTTGGAGACAGCTGCAGTACAACACTGCAGAGTAAGGATGGAAATCTTCTCTTTCATTCATGCTATGTGAGACTTCTGTGTATGAATAATTAGTGGGACAGTGATAAAAAAAATCTGTTCAAGGAAATCTCTATTTGGAAACAGCATTTCAAGTATAAAGTGCACAGGCTCATAGCCAAACATTCAAATAGGGGAAAAACAGTGCAGTAGTATTCCTAGTAAGAAAGAGGAGCAAAAGAGGAAATGAGTCGTAAGAAATACTGCATCTTTCAATTCCTAAGGCACAGATCATCAAAGGTATTTAGACACCTAACTCCCACTGACATATCAATGGACTGTAGGCACTCAAATACCTCCTAAAATCTGTGCCTTACTTTCTAATCTTGTGAGGTGTTATACATCCTCTAGTCCTACTGAATATGGGATTTAAGGACACTAAGCACCTTGCAGGAGGTGCCTCTCAGCAGGCGTCAACACGTGCAGGCATTAAAGCGCATTAATGCTGTGCGTGGCCTGATACGGGACTAATTTTAACTAGCTGAAACCCGCAATACATTTGCAATTAATTTTTTATTGCAATGGTATTTATTTAAATATAGGATTTTTAGTTATCCTTTGATTTAATACTGTAACAGAATCAAACCCTCTCATCCTTGAAAGGCACCTTCCTCGCCAGCCTCCTGCCACCTTCTCGGGGCAGCCAGCTCGTTCCCGGGTGGTCTCAGGCGGCGGAGGCAGCACACGGGGTGCTGGAAGGCCACCAAGTCCGAGCTTCCCCGAGCATGCCCGGGCTTCCAGTGTCCCATGTACTGTTGGATCTGGGGGGGTGCTGCCTGCAAGCTGGGGCTGCACCTGCACTGCTGCTAGCACCCCACCCAGGCAGCCCCGGGGGCACCACCACTGTGGAGGGAAGCACCGGGCCACCCTGTAGTTCAGGGGCTGCGTTACCTGGCAGCAGCTCATACGGGCAGGCTCTGCCAAGGGAAAAAAAGAGCAGTGAGGGGCCTGATCTTTTTTTTTTTCTCTCCCAGAGCCTGCCCACATCTCCCATGGCCCAGGTGCCGGGTCCCTGGTGCTTTCCTCCACGGCGGCGGTACCCCCTGGGCAGCACCCACCTGTTGGCACCCTGCCAGGATGGTCCTGGAGGGCACTGCCACTGCGGAGGGAAGCACCAAGGCCCCCCGCAGCTCAGGGCAGTTCACCCCCCCAGCTGCGGGAGAGGCGAGCGGGCTCCAAGGAAAAAAAAAAAGGGATCTGTGATGCAACACTATTGAGCAGTAGCAAGGAGCTACTGTGCAGTCAGCATCACCAGGACGCCATGCAGGGATGCTACTGTGCAGTAACACCAGTTACTGTGCAGTCATTTAGTACTTGGGTATGCAGGTACTCAATGACTACATGGTAACAACTGTGCAGCCAGTGTCTCGTGCAGACATAGCCTGTGCGTGTCTTTTAGGATACAGCTAACTTCACAGAATTTAAAGAATGTGAACGACTGATTTCACAACTTTTTTCCTAGTTCCTTCTATAATTAACAAGTGAAACAAACACTATAGATCATACCCATCTTCTCTGTCACTAACAAGTCCTGACTGCAGTTCTTGCATGAAATAATGGATGACTTGAGACCAGAGAACAATTTGCAGTATGTATGAACATCATAGTTAATGCTTTAAATATTCTAGAGGATAACTCTTTCTCAGGCCTAAAGAGGAAGAATGTATTGCATCTGAAAGCTTGTCCAAGTCCATGCCAACCATACAGTTGGTCCAATAAAAGATATCATGCATAAACATCCTTCTTGCCTCTTGCATATTTTCTGGACGAACATTCCTACACCAATACTCTAGACTAAGATTTCAACCTATTCTTTCTCACCCAATATGTGAAATTTGACCCTTCCTCTTTATCAAGAGTTTTGCATTTTTCTATTCAGAAATACTATTTAACATTAATTTTTCAGAGGAAAATTAATTTGCTTCCTTTTAAATGACATAAACTACTCTTAATGCACTCTGATAGGCTAAGGGAACATGAGTTCATAAAAGCTTGGCTTGGACAAGCTAGTAGTTGCATTAAAATAACAGAGTAAGCAGATGCAGATGTTCAGTACAAAATTACAATTTTGTATCCGGGGAAAAAAAACCCCAAAATGTAAGTGTGACATAATACATCTCTTTACTCAGAAGCATATCCATCTGTCATTTTGGGGCCTGATTCAGCTCCCACTGAAGCCAGTTTAGCCAGTGAATTCAGGATTGAACCTTTAAGATAAAACCAAACAATTCCAAAATGTACCACTTATAAATACTGTTACATCAATATGCCAGTTACATAGACCTATATTCATAGCCAAGTATAGACAGGGACTATATATAAATATGTGCTTAATGAGACAACAGCAGGAA